TCCGGTACCGGGAACCGAACTCACGACCTTGCACTTGCCAGGCAGGCGCTTTGCCGCTGAGCTAAATCCCCAGCCCCTATGATCAGATGTTATTCATGATATCCTATATCCATTATTAGTGCCACACCAATCCTCAAATGCATATACTGTACTAAATATTTATGAAGTTCTTCTTCATTGGTGAAGAGGAGAATTTATTTTACTTTACTGCCAGTTTTGGTTATTGTGTTTGAACTTTGACTTGTACTATCATCACCTTTACTTTCAGATCCACTGGAAAGAAAGCAAGACATCATATTTCTTTCCAAGGCACAGATATACTTATCATTACCAGTGATTGCATTGGAAATTCCCTTTCGTATAGACATTAGGTGTGCTTGCATTGCTTTTTCATGTGCTGTAGGTATTGCAGGCAGAGGCCCAGGGAAATTAGAAGTTTTGAGGGAGTCTTGCAATTGCAAGGCAATACATACAATAGTTAGTGAATAATATTATGACCGTCCTGCCTCATTAAAGTTCTAACCGCACCCACAGAATGCAAGTTCCTCTGCTGTTTAAAATATGAGCAAAATAACTGTGAAGCACACAGAGCCTTAATTCACTGGGGGAGCAAGCCACACTCTGATCTGTGCTTTGCAAAATTAACTCAGTGAATGGTTAGTATGTCTAGAATTTCCTGTGAAATTTATTATGGTTATTGAGTACCATGTCTAAGCAGCAAACAAATTAAACAGAATCTCAATACACTTTTTATCTAAAATCTTTCTTACTGTTGTAGATACCCCAGTTAAAAATAGATGAACTCAACAGCATCATGTTTGTTTCACAAATGCAGAAGATACCAGTAGGTCAGTTTAAGTATTAATATGAGTAATATAGGTTACATCTTCTAGTTAGGCAATTGTGTTCGCTAAAGGCTTGTATTTTCATTAGTAGGCATTGCTCATAACTTACAGCTTAACTTACACATCCTAAAATGTCTGAATTAAAATGTGAGAGCAAATATATATGTTAAACTATGGAAATGACAGCAGTACTGTATTTTCCCAGTGAGCTTACAAATTCCGAAACATTTCTCTATTGTCAAGGATGTAGTATTTATTAGTCAAAATGCACAAATCACTTTGAATTTTAAGTCTAACATTTTACAGCTTTATTTTTTTAGTGAAGTACAATACTTCTGTCACGATTTGACTGAGATGATTACGTTAAAGACAGTAAGAATTATGCCTTTCCTGTGATACTGCACAAAATGCTTTTATTGTCTGCAGCATTATGTTGCTTCCTGTGTAAGTCAAACAGATTTGCTGCAGCTGTTTTGAAATTTTTTAGTGACATAATTACCAATTTAATCATTATTTTCATTTGAATCATGCTTTTGAAAAATTTTTGTTATTGGATTTTCTCCCTTCCTCTTTGACCTCTCTTTGCTTGGTCCAAGGCCCATACTAGCACACATTTAATTTGAGCACCCACTTGGAATTGTGTCTTTTGAAGCACTTAAGACTTCCATGTATCTTAATTCTAGGGATTTATTAAATAAGAGTACCAACTCTGAATTTCACACATTACTTATTGAAAGTTGCCAAGTTATTACACCTACAATGTCTCTGTGACTTGGTTGGAGGAGGTAGCAGTTGTGTTCCCTGTTGGGCTTGTCCCCCAGATCCCAGCTAACCCTTTGGTGCTGCTAAGTACAAGGCCCAGAACTCTATCTTGGACACAGTCGATAGCCAACTGATATAAATAGGTCCTCTACATCATACGGAATGTTTTAAAAAGATATGTTTTAGTATGTGGAATAATGGAAGAAACAAACTATGAGTTGTAATGGGTTACAGGAGTGTCATTTGGGATGGTGGCAACTTGGGAACGGCATTAAACATGAGAATGTAGGTTTTACCAACATTTGCTTGACTTTCACAGGCTGCTGCACACCAAGGTAAACAAAAGTCATCAAATGTAATTAACTTTCCGCCCAAGGGGAAATGTGATTGTATTTTGCTGGTCCATTAGAAAATTTAGCCAGCATTTGGCAGAAAATAATCACTTCAATTTGTAACAGGTGTTGAAAATTTTTAAAGATCAAAAATATAATTTTGTACAATGCTATCTATATAGCTCACTTAGACTATTTCTGCATGGCTTTAAAACTTTCAGCGAAAAAGTGTAAGTTTTCATGTTACTGGCATATTTCAAAGTGTTTTCTCAATATATGCCTGTTAGAGGAGACGAGACTATGGGTGGGTGAACAGCAAAATGTTTCTGAGTTGTTTTGAAAATGCCTTAAACAATGGAATGGATCTCTGTTAGGGAATTTCTCCACATTAGCTCTTCAGTAGGAGCGTCCCTTAAATCAGTAGTGGCGAACCCATGACACTCACGTTATTGTGTTTTTCTCTTAAGACAGATGATAATATGGAGTTGTTTTTTCTAAACTAAAACTCAGCATTGAAGTTTAATTGCAGTATTGGCACTTTGCAATAAATAAGTGGGCTCGGGGGGGTTGCAGTTTGGCACTCGGTCTCTAAAAGGTTCGCCATCACTGCATAGATTTATCAAAATTATATGGCTCTGCAGTGATTATCTCCATCAGTCCCATTTCCACAGATGTCAAATCTGAAATTCAGAATGGGGAATATTCTGGGATCGTTCCTTCTCAGAACTGGAACAAGAACCAGTCACCTGCCTCCTAGTTTAATAACCCGTCAAAATTTCTCACTCTTTCTTTCTTTTTTTTTTTTTTTCCTTTCATTTCAGTCGAAATTCTGAACAGCAGAGTTACGGAGTATCGGGATCTCTCCATGAGAACCTCCATATGGCCTTTCTATATATATTCTCATATGTCCTCTTCTAGCAACACAACAATAAGCATGGTGCAGTCAATATATTAAACAAAGTGAACGTGTCAGCCAACAAATCTAAATGAAAACAAAGCATTAAAATCGGTGGAGATGTTAAATCCGAATTAGAAAAATAACTACCATCTATCTCATTTGAATTATTAGGTAGAACACGATCATAAAACGTTGTGATTTTTTTTCCTGTAATCATTATGCTAAACAAATTTCCACAGTGTGCTATTGGCTTACTGTACATTTTGGTGGCTAAATGTTCATCTGTTTTTGAAGTGTTACCTTACTGTATTGTTTACAGGACATTCTGTTGAATTGATTTAGAATGTAATAGATATATCCAGTACCATTTTCCCCAAGGTGGTATTGTTTTGGGTTGGGGTGGGTTTAGTTTTCATATATGATAGTGTTTTGCTGTGTGGCGTTCGATACAAATTAAAATATTATTAGTAGGGAACAGAAGTTTATGTGCTTGAAAAACATGGCAGGTTCATGTTAATGTGATCTCTTTAGAATATTTCTGTAGGTTTCTTGGGGCACACATTTACAATGCCTCACTTTTGAATGTGCACAGAATCTGTTCATAAATACGCATGTGTATAATTTGTATCTGCAGATCTAACCTTGCATAATTCAATAAAGTTACTAGGATTTTTGCGAGAGGGAAATAACTAGCCATACAAAGTAGAGAATTTCTTAAAATCTTAACTCTTAATACACTCCTCTTAACTAGCTTGAAAAAAATTCACTTCTTAATGATTTTTCCGACATTTCTACTAAAAATTATGTAAAGTTACCACTACATGGTTGTGATTCTCAAGAATACTATCTCCTACGTTGAGTGTCTAAAATTGAGCCATTTGTCATCTTCACCTGCAAAAGCGGTACTTGGGGGCTTAAAAGTGTGCTAATTGCAGGTTATAAATCAAACAGAAATGGGGAGGTAGAGATAGTTTTTACATATTAGTGGAAAGTGTGTAAAACCTTTGCCATGTAACCTTTTACACAAGTGTCATTTTCCAAATGCAAATGGCTGTAGCTCTTAGACTATTCTTTAAACAATAAGATGCAATCTAGCACAAGTCAGTCAGGGTGAAAGAGAACTGATTCTAAATGAGGCCTTTCCTCCTCAAATGGACAATCTTTTCTATTGATCACAGAGGGAACCTGAGTGCAGGTTTGGGAAATGGCAGGGACGAGGGCAGGGAGGCATTTAAAATTACCTTTTGATTTATGCAAAAGAGCTGGAAAAGATGTCCGCATTGTGCTTCAGTGTCACCAAATTGCCAATTCCGTTAAACACTTCAGTGAAGGAGCAAGTGCCTGCGATATATGACAAGCTTCTCCCTGTCCAAACTTCAACATCAGAATCTTTTACATCAAAACTAAGCCTCTTTTTTCACTTGTTTAGATTCATTTGCCTTTATGGCTGTTTACAATAGGGTAGATTAGTACTCTTTGGTTAATATAGAGAGACTGTACTACACAGAGGTGAGCTGAATTCTCATTAATACTTAGGAAATAATTAAACATGAGTAAAATAGCAATTAATTTCTGTGCTCTTTATTACATCTCCATTCTATTCAGTTATTATACAGTAGTAGAAACATAAAATTTTGTTCAGATTTAGATTTAATATTTTCTACTGAATGTATGCTCTCCCCCTGGAAAATATAAAACCATCCGATTGGATACAGAGAAAAGGGTTGTTTTTCTCCTTCATGAAGATGACCAATAAAGAGAAAATCTGATTTAGGATACCTTAAGCCGGCTGGTAGGTTTGAGTTCCAAAACAATGGAATTAGCAAAAACTTGTGATCATTGATAAAACTGAAACTGAAGACCACGTGACTTCCCCAGAGCTAAGGACCGCTGTGAGACCCAGAACGATCTCCGGACTCCAAGTGTAAATCTTTCTCATGATGTGCTTCAGAGCATTTGAGACTCCATCTCAAAGCATTTGGCCCAGAACACAAAAGTGTAACATTATCTCCAGTAGTTGGTATCTATTGGTCTTCATTATCAGTCCAAATCCTGCTCAACTGTGATTTCTAAACAGTCTTACTTGTATCGAGCCACTATCATCTTTAAACAGTGTTGCCTGCAGTTAGAGATTAGAATTTGTTCTTTTACCCGGAACTCTTTGAACCACTTGTTTTTCTCTTTCCTGACATCTTAACATTGCTGGAGAAGAAACTAGGGTATGCCCTTTGGAGATGCCTTGTGTGTGGAGCTGAGTTTTGTGTAGTGTTGGTGCCTCTCCAGAAGGGCAGATTTGACTGCATGAATCCAGGAAGGATGCCCCTGAACTAGTCTAGATGTATTCCTTAATGGAGATGGGAACTTTTTCTGTAAAATGAACTTTTGTGTAGTTTGACATTTTTGATGCAACATACTATCTCATTTAACTTTTTAAACTTTTGACAAAGATGTACATAGACCTAAAGTACAGCTATTTTCATGTTGCTGTAAGCACTGGAAGACTAATAATGACTTATTTTTAGTAAAAGATTGAGGAAGGAACATTCAGGGTAGTTTTATTTTGAGTGCCACCATTTTCTAAATGATTGGCATTTTAAAAGTTGCTATATAAATGAATTTAAGGAAAGAAAGCTCAAAGCCCTAAAGTTTTGATCAAATTCAACAGTTTTGAGAAAATGAAAGTTTAAGATAGCACTCTTCAGTTGTGCAAGGACTTATTCAAATTATCTTTATTCAAGAAAAGACACGATTGGTAAGTCATTAGACTATAAATTTCCAGTTAAAAAGATAAGTCACAAAATAATCAGTGACTCTAAGCAAAATTTACTGAATGCATTGTATATACAAAATTCTAATCACTTATAATTCTTAGCTAAAATTTTATAATCTGTATTTTACAAGGGCCTCTACTTTTATTTATCCAAAATTATTGTTCTGTCCATTCTTCTCAGCCTTTTGCAAACATATGCAAGAGTGCCGAAACTTGAATAAGACGGGTCTTATATACTGAAAAATAATCTAAAAGTTATCTTTTAAGAGGGTTTTAATAGTATCAATTTTTTACAAAAAGCACTATGTGACCATAATGAAAGTATATTTTAAAAGAGGATTAAGATTAAATTAAGATAAATGGATTCATAAAAATTGTTATTTAAATACAGTATTTACTTTTGCAATTGGAGCATGATTCCATAACCAGCGGTTGCACTTCATTTCACTTTTCTAGATTAGACTTTAATTTGTAGCTAATCATGAAAGCCACCTCCCCCCATTCCATCGAGCCGTCACCGTCAGTTTCTGATCATGCTAAAAGCACTTGGATCTGGCCATGAGTGTTACCCTACAGTACAAGGCTGTGTTCTGTAGTGGGAGCCCTCAGCTCACCCGCTCTCCAATTTGGGCGGATGCCAGTGCCTCATCCCTGCCCTCAGCAGGTAATAAGTGGAATTACATCTTCGATCAGCTTTTAATGGCCTGACCAGTAAGCATAGTGATGTCTAATAAGGAACATTTATGTTACATTTTTTCAAGAGAGGAGGGAAGCCTCGGGGCTTCTTGGAATGTTATTTGGCCCCTTTTTCCCCTTTTGGAGTCGATGAGGGTGCCCTTAAGTAAAGCACAGCCATGAGTTTTCAGAGTTCTTTCAGTCTCTAGGGTGGGAAGGCGTACACAGAATGATGAGAAACTGAGGCACTCATTCTTATCTTTTATACATTTTACATACATTGAAATAGAAATGAAGAAAAATTATGGGGGGTTCTGATTTTCAACATTCTGATTAAGCAGAGTGATAGTGGCCTAATTTTATCAGTACCTGCCAAAGGCAATAATCAGCATGCAAAAGAACACACCAAAAATTTTTGCCAACTTAGTTGATAGCCTAATCAAATTGTAAATATAACTACAAATCTAGAGTCAGCACCAGCTCAGTCACTGGTGCCGTCTTTTCATTTTTCTTCTGAGATTTTAAGGTTTTTATTTTATGACTTTTTATATCTCTAAGTAACTAATAAATTTAAGAATTTAATTTTGAAGGAGAGTTAGAGAAAGTTTATATGTTTTATTTTACTACATATATTCAGCCTACCTAGTTAGATTCTAAACTGACACTAAAGCATGGCAGATATAGATGACAGTCCATAACTACTCTATACAGATCACAGTTTAAGAACAAATTTAACTTTATACAAAAATAATAATTATTGACTAACTATATTTAGTTGTTGCTTTGGCAACGAAACTACAACATGGCTACCTTTTAGACATTTGTGTGTGCGTGTGTGGAAATTTTATTTGTAAACTATCTGTGGTTCGTGACAGTATAAGCATGTAGATGATATAGCTCAAAACTCAGAAAACAGATATGGTTGAATATTTTAATCCCTAAGTCACATGTGAAAGCTGAATTTGTGTCCTGTGACTTTTTGGTCAAAAAGTTTACAACTCATGGATTCTAGAAGCAGGCTTATAGTTTGTAGACTTTGTTGTGTGGATAGGGTTATTCCACAGTATTTTGACTTCAAAATAAAATACATATTATATATACACACACATATATAAAATCATTAACTTTTTCATAACTTTGTTTATTGAAAATTACACCATATGACATATCTGTAGTGGCAACAATTCTTTTTCTGAAATTATGTGTACAAATATTCATGAGGATTAAAACATGACTAAACATATTTTGAAATTAATTCATATTTGTAAAACCATATGTAAAGATACTGTGGAATGGCCCCTGAACAGTGTTTAAGAGACATATGCTGCGGCTACCTGATTGTCAAAGTTAGGGTGCGGACGTGTGAGACACACCTTTTTTGCACTTGTGTACATAGTCCATGAAAGCAATCCTCGGAGCTTTTTTTTAATATAAGAAGACTGTGATAATAGTGTTAAAGTCAGTAAGAGAAAGTTATTCCTAAGGCTTTGAAAGGAAGGTTTTTTTCTTTTTGCTCTAAGACATATAAAGCATTATGTTGCTTTGCTGTTGTGGAGGTTTTCTAGTTAGCTACATCTTACTGGGACAGAAAATTGGTTACGGGTAACTGGTCAACATTAGCTAACAACACTAAACAATAGTAGAAGTACTTCTTTTAGGAAGACCACTAGCAAAGATTATTTGCTTTTTAAGTCAATCCCCACTTTACACACACACACACACACACACACACACACACACACAAACACACACCTACCAGGTAGGTTGTGGTAGAGGTTTTCTTTTTTTTAGTGACTACAAGCAGTGAAATACCCTGTAAATTGCAAGATAGCTATTTTCATCATGATGAATTCTGATTTCATCTTTTCACAGAAATTTATCATTATGTGATATCAGTTAGCATGTGTATCAATTGCTATGTATTCAAGTGACATTTCAAATATTAATGTTGACCTCTACTCCTACTTTAAGATGCAGAACCCCAAAACAAATTGGCAACCATTGCAAGGTTTCATTTCCTTGTTAAGTATAGCTGGTATAGGGAAGTTTGCTCATTTGAGGGAAGGAAACATGCTCCTCGCACAACTTTAGCAACAGCTTTATTTACATTGTATGTGTTCAGTGCGAGCTGTTTCTGACCCCCCTTACCAAATTTCAGAGTACTACTTCACTGTGCCACTTGAGCCTCCCAATAGTTTGTTTAAATAAAACAGAAGAGAAGGAGCCAAAATCTTACATAATGCAGGAGCTAGAAGAGAATGCTTCAATCTGACCGCCTCTACCAGTTTTAGCTCCACACCATCTACAGATAGCCATGGAAGTTTCTTGTCCTCAAGCAATGAGGCCTACGAAGGGTTGAGGGTAGAAAGATTAAGGGACAGATCACCACAGGTACTTGGAGTCCATTGCATCTTGAGGCATGTAGCTCTCACCCTGGAAAAGGACAGTATTCTGATGTTAGAAGATCTGGTATTGGAACATTGCTATCTATTTTGCTAGGTCTCTCAGAGACAGAACTATAGGGCTGGAGGGTGTGACTCAGTGATTGTATGTTTGCTACCATGTGTGAGACCCTTATTATACTCCCAGAGAGAGAGACAGGCAGACAGACAAAGCCAGAAAGCAATCCAAGCCTTATAGTTGTCCAATAACTCAGGGCCATTTGGCTAGAAATTTTTTCTCCCATCACTTTATAATCACTTAGTGTCCATGATACAACAAACAGCCTGACAATCGGACCAGCATTTCCAGTGATATAAACTGTAAACATTCTTCCACTGTGTAGTTAGGAACCCCTAACTTCAACCTTAGTGCCAACATAGTTTTCCAATTTAACCCATTTCCTTGTGTTTGGATTTCCTGGTGAATCTGGAAGCCGGGAAAAGAATATATGTTCATAATGGTAGTAGAGACATGAGATTTGTTCTGTTTCGCAGTGCTGGGGATTGAACCTAGGACCTCATGCATGCTAAGCAAGTGTTTTACCACTGAGTTACGTTCCCAGCCCGAGATGTGAGATTTGAAGTCAACAAGAATCATGTACGAAATAGTAGGAGTGACAGCCCTTGGCTCTCAGTCTTTGGAACCTAACACATTCATATAGAGCCAAAATTCATATGTATCGCTGTTGGATGGCTCTGAAGCCCCGGCGATACATGCATGATTGTCTCACTGCGTGGCTTGGGACAGTCCTATCAGGTGATAGAAGCTAGAGGAAACATGTAAACATAGTGACTGTGTTTAAATACGTAAAACAAGTGGGTGTGTGCAGTATAACAAAGACATGTAATTTAGACCAAAAAAAAATCTGTTAAGATATAGCTTGAGTAATTCATATCGGTTCCAGCTCTTCAATTTGTCCTTGCCTGCAGGGAATTTCTTATTAATACCTAAAAGCTGGAATATTACAAGAAATTTTATCTTTATATAGAACTCTTCCTCAATTATTGTATACCTAAAATAAGTGTGTATCACTATGAAATAAGTTACGACTCTTTGTAGAAAATGAGAAAACCCTTATTAGTCATCTACATCATGTTATTTTTTTTAAAATACCTTTGTAACAAGACCTAAAGTAACACAACTATTATATATAAGCTTTTTCCTCCCAAATACACAATTTAAAGATTTATCTCTCATAGAACTGCTTAGTTCCAAAGCTTTATTTCTGTATACAGATGTTATTTGTTAGTGATGGAAACCAAATTATTTTGTTGCTGTGTCTTTTGTGTCCAGCAGTTGAAGGAATGATGCAATCATCACATCATTAGATTCTAAGAATGCCCTTTTCCAAAAATATTCCCTTTTATTTTTATTGTTGCTGCTTAAATTCATACAAAATGAGCCATTTGTTTCCAAATTCAAGGATTTAAATTATATATATATATATATATATACACATTAATTGTGTTTTGGTTTTGAGGTCAGGTCTCTGTGTTGATCAGGATGGTCTGAAACTCCTGGGTTCAAACAGTCCTCCCTCTGGATTAGTTGGATATACAGGTGTGTGCTTCTATGCCTAGCTATAAATTAAAATTTTTTTTAAATGAAGGGTTATTCCTAAATGTACGCTTTAAGGGTTAACTGTATTGCACTCATATAATAACAATCTGGACTGTAGAAACCTGGGGGACTATTTTGAGAAGAAAAAAAATGTAAACGTACCTATAATAAAGTGTTTAGCCCTGTACAAAAACTATGGATTTAAATAATGATCAGAATATTTTACAAATAAAAAACATTCCCTTTATATCATCATATTTTGCCTGAAAAATTCAATAGCTCATTTCCTCAACTGCAGATATGTTGATTTTTGTTTTTTTTTTCCAAGTTCTAGTGGTGTAGTGCTTGTCCATGTTTAGAAGTGTGCATTTTGTAACTCATTTTAGTATGCTACTTTTATGTTTAATTTTGTTCTTTTAATAAAGTATATAAGTTTCATGTTTCTGTCTTTTTTATGAATCCATATTCATATATTGAGCTCAATTAAGAGCTATTCATATCCTAGCATATTAATCCTAATATTTTGAAATTTTAGTATAAATTTAAATTTGTGATTTGGTTCAGTGTTATACTTCATACCCAGAGTAAGTTTACTTCCAAATATTTCCATTATTTTGAATTTGGTAAACTATATATCCCTTGCGTTAGATGTATTATTCGTATAAGATTGAAGTCACTGACACAAGGAAGACACTTGTATTTTAGTAATAGAAAACTAAGAATTTTGAGATAATGCTTACTGGTTTCTGTTGTGCTTGAGAAATCCTAAGGCATAGTCTAAGATACGTTATCAGAAATTTGTGGGTACCAGATATTCATTTCCATCCCGCATCTTCAGTGTGACGTATGAAACCAGTGTTGTTCATTTCATCCTTTTCCAGATGGGCATGATAATGAGATGCGTGCGTTTTTCCATTAAAATTTTTTGTCACTTAAAATTGCTTATCACCAACAAAAGGGACAGGAATGAAAGGATAATCATTTTTGTTCTTTAAGAAAACAAATGTAATTTGGTAATGCTTTATTCTGTCAGATGTCTAAACCCTTCATACAAAGCAATCCAGAATTTCTCTGCATTGATCACTCTTCTATAGTCAAGGTGACAAGCCCCAGCTGAAGAGCATTTGGATCAGAGGTTGTGGCAGAGAAAAGTATTATTCAGCTATTTATAACAGTGATGTGTCCAGGGAGGAGGTTAGGCTCCCGTCTGGTATCAGCTGTACCTTGCGGATGTCCCTTGCCTTTGTGCCCTACTTTCCTACTTCTAATGTGGTTCCCTCTTTGGTATTTCTTGATAAGCCAACTATAATCAAAGCCGACTTTGATGTGTTGTGTGTGCCTCTGTGAGTCCAATAACTTAGTATTAAAACCAGTTCAGTATATAGACATTTACAAGAGGTCTTTGGCCTCTCCAGATTTTTGTTTGTCTCTTTGAAGCTGCTGAATGATAAGGAAGGAATTAGGGCAAGCTTCCCCAACCGTGGTCAAAATGTAGTCTTGCAGATTTAGTTGTCAGGAGAAAGGTGGTCCACAGCCAAACCATATGTAAACCAAGTTTGTCTTGGGTACTTTTCAACTTCTCTGCAGAGCATCTTTCTAAGGCCTCCTCTTTATTCATCCCTCACGGTGGCCTTTAGCTCTCTAAAAGCCCTAGGGTAGCAGTTTGTCAAGCCTGCATCCTCAGGTAGATCTGTACTTCTCTGCTTCCGAACTTTCCTGTTGGCCTTCTCAAGCTAAGGGACAGCAGCCTGCAGCTGAGATTTGAGAGAGAAAAGCTAACTCTAGTGTCAAAGAATGGCAGTGTTTTCCGTGCTGTCCCTCACGGGAGTATTTGTATTTAAAAAGGCATGATGCTCAGTGGTACCGTACCAGACAGCCACGTGCACGTATTCCCAGGAGGCGCAGCACATTAAACACGGCCATTCTATAATGCTAGAGTGTTAGGAGATGTGTATTCTAGGCATTAAATCTCAGCATTTAGGAGCAGTAATCAAATTCCTACAGATGAGTGCTGCAGTCATTTACCACCTCCAGAAGGCCAAGAATTCAAGATTTATAATTTTGTAATTGCCAGGAAAGTCCTGAAATAATGATGAACCAATAATATTGGCTGGATAGTGATCATCCCCAAATGCCATGGACCAGAATTCATTCTCACGGTCAGCATCTGTAACAAGCATGACACAAGACAGGCCTACACACGGTTATATTTCTCAGGAAACCTAAGCCTACAAGGTGGATCAAAAACTAAGGTTGATGTTTAAATATTTTAATTCCAATAAAAGACATATTGCCATTATTCCTCCTCTGAATAATCCCCCTCACCTTGAGCACACTTATCCCATTATTTTTGCCACTTTCTGAAGCAGTTCTGAAAGTCTACTTTCAGGGGAGTTTTTAGTTGCACTGTTCTGGCTGCCTCGATGCACTGAATCAATTCAAAATGTTTCTTTTCCATGGTCTTTTTGACTTTGGGCAAGAGCCAGAAGTCACATGGTGCCAGATCTGATGAGGAAGGGGGATGAAAATACAGTCATGCCTTTACAAGCCTGCCTTTCTGTTGGATGGTAGGCGGCAGCAGCATTCACTGCATCTTTTTAATCACACCTCATAAAGTCAGAAAAGAGACTTCTCAGAACTGCTTCAGAAAGGGACAAGAACCGTGGGATAAGTGTGTTCAGAGTGAGGGGTGTATGCTGAGGGGATTCATAGCAATATGCCTTTGAATGAAATAAAATTTTAAGTTGTAAACATTCATTGTACATTTCAGTCACACCTGGTACACTTGCTAATATTCAACAGGTGAGCACTCATACTCTGATTTTTTAAATTTGGCTCTTTGCTGTACTACAAGTTGCTATTTAAATGAGTCCTCCTAGATTTTACTTCTACTAATTGAATACTTGTCCCTTAAGCAGGAGGACAGCGGGCTTCTGAGGAATAAAAGTTCAGAGCACAGTACTCCAAGCACAGTACTTTAGATAGAGAGGGCTGCCACCAGGACATAGGGTACTGTTTATGAAAGGTATGGACGATCTGATTCTCACCTATACGAACAGATCCCCAAAGCAGAAGCACAGAATTCTGAAGCAGATGCAAAAATCCACATTAGAAGGCAATTCTGCCCAGAGTAGGCCAGTAGTTTGGTCATGTGCATGGAAGCACAGCACAATGAAAGGACCGCTAAGGCACCCAGTGCTAGATACAGTTTCCCTGAGGAGCGAGAGGGAGGTGTTTCCCTGTCAGTGACCCCATGTGCTGCTTTCATGCACAACCACAGTGTGATCGGTGAGAGATCATAGAGTAACAGTAGGTGGATAGCAAACACCCTCTGCTAAACAGGACAGTGTGCTCAGAAAACTGGACTTGAGCGAGTGGAGAAGGGATCTGAGGAGTGTCTGTAGTCAGCGTGTTCCTAGAGACCGCATGGTTACATGAGATGGTGAGCAATCCATGGAGGATCAGTGCAGTTCTCAAGAAGAGTGGGGAAGAAGATTGGCAATGAGACTTTGCTCTTAGCTGTCATGACCTTAAGAGTTGAAAAATAATTTTTTTGAAAAAATTGGCATTTAAGAGTTCATTGTGTCCATATTAATTGAATGTATTGTAAGTGATTATTGATGTGCCTTTGTTAAGTATTTAATAAATGTGAGTGTGGTTCATTCAAATTGTCTTGGTTCTTCTTAACTTCTACTGAGAGACTCAACTTGAATTTGTTTATAGGAGTTAGATGAGGAAAACCAGTACCCATATGAGTTCAGAAAATCTATAGTTAGTTTTGGGCTCCAGGTACCACTGTCAACAAATGAGGGATTTGTGCTATCAGACCCCCCTCCACATATCTTTAGGGAGAGGATTCTGAGGGGGAATTTTTTTAAAAATTATATTTCCCCTAAGCAATTTGCTGTGCCTGGAATATATTCTAATGCATAGTCTCTCCTTGACCAAGCTTTAGTCAGGCTCTCCTAAATCCTCTATCAACTAGGCCTCAACTTTGGACTTCTATTTCTGTCATTGCATGGCTCAATTTCAGCAAGAATTCTGCTGACTGATTTAGCCAGGAGCCCCAGTTCTCAATATCTAATTACCAGGAATCTCAAAGCTCAGTACCCATCTCCCCTACAATCACTGTAACATTGTCTATAATGCCTCTGGGCTTCTCAGGAGCAAGAACCAGATTTAACTGACTTTGGTATCATTTGTGATGCCTGTAATAGTAGCCACACAGTAAATACACAATAATAATAATAAGAAAAACCCAATCAAATAAAAGGCATATCTATAATGAAAAAGAAAATTTCACAAATTCCAAGTGTACAAAGAATAACTAGGCTTCACAGAACTGGAAAGTTGTCAGACAACTGGTTTCTCCTCACTGCCTCTCTGCCTCAGCCTCCTTGTCAGTCTGTCTCTCTGTGCTCTAGTCTCCTGCTTCTCTGCAAGCCTGCTTTCTCAGTTTATTGCTCTGATTCAGAGGACTGATGGAGCTACTCTGAGAGTGATAGCCATATTGGAAGAGTCCACGTTAGTGGTAACCTACACCAGGAGCACATGGGAGCCTTATAAAACAGGTGGCTGCCACCCATGCAAGAGTTTCTGGTTTAGTAAATGTGAAGATTTGAATTTCCAATAAGTTCCCAGATAACTGATTTTCATGACCATACACGGAGAACCACTGATCTATATGACCTTTGCGCATGGCACCCTGCAAAGAATTGACCCAGGCAATAGGCTCCAATTCCTGGTTCTCATAAGAGAGAATCCAGTCAGATCTACCTGAGTCTGATGGTTTGTCTGTGTTACATTCACTTGTGCCCAAGAGGTTGGGGTTGCATGATACCTATGACATTGCCTCTTGGAGGTCATGGACTGAGGAACATTTTAAAGAAGTTGGGCTGGGAAGCTGAGGCAGGAGGATTGTTATGAATTCAAGACCAGTTTGGGGTACAAAGTAAGCTCAAGGCCAGCCTGAATTACATAGCCAGACCCTTTCTCAAAAAGATAATAAATAAATAAATAAATAATAAATAAAATAAGTTGATTTTCTCTTACAGTCACCACCATAGCTACTTTGAACGTTGTAAGAATTCCCACACTGAATTAGATTTTTGATCCACGTGGTTCAGTTCTCTGTGGACAGCACAGCCTGTAAAGAGCATAATGATGATCTCTAGGCAATCATCTCAAAGTGAAGCAAAACTTTACAGCCAGCTCTAGATTTATAATCTTTCGTCGCAAACACAGGGCTTCTCCATCCAGTTGCCCAAGCCAGAAGGAAATTCTTTTGACTCTACCTCCCTTCCTGCCTATATCCAATCTATCAAGTATCAATTCGGTGTCCAAATTACTTTCTCTATCCTTACTGTGCCTGGTTAGTTTAACCTGAGAGCCTGCCGTAGCTATTTGCCTTCAGCCTACTTCCTACACCTTCTCATCTT